AGTCACATCACCAGATTATTATTTTATAATTAGGGCTTGATTAATTAATTAAGTTACCGATCGTCAATTAATCATGTGGAATCTTCCAACAAAATCTTTCGAGCTTGACCTCTTAGAATTAACGGTAGGCACCGCGTGGCGTGGGATCATTTGTTTATATGTATGAAAATTGTCGCTGTAAGTTCAATGGTGCGCGTGGTGCACGCAATTGAGGAAACTACTTTACGACTCGCTTTTATATAATATTTTTATAATCTTATTTATAGGATAGAGAGAAAAGATTTTACTAATCCTATTTATAAGTTATTTCATTAAATTTTTAACATAAATATATTATTTCGTTCTTCATTTATTATAGTATATATAGTTTTTTTTTTGAAGATGTATATGTTAAATAGGAGTAAGTTTGAAAAGTTGTTATGTTTTAATAGAGAGTTAATACATTTTAAGATTTTTCTTGGCCTGTGTAAAATATGTTGGAAGTATCTTATAAATAAGATAAAAAAAATATACTACCTCTCATGCTGTAGACAAGAGCTAGACAAATAGTTCATTTTAAATCATAACTATAAGATTTTAATTCACTTTATCTCCCAACTATATAATTTTTATTTAAATACCTATTGATTGCTTATATTAATGAAACTCCTAATCAAAAAGTAGTTTCAATGCATATGATTGAAAAAAGTAATTGAGAAAAATATTAAAAAACAAGTGATAAAAAATAAAGTTGATAAAATTATTGAAAAAAAGGGGTGGGAAAAGCTATAACGTTCGACATTTTTATGCAAGGTGAAAAGTTTATGCACATTTTATTCATATATGCATAGGGTTGCATGGCGTCTAACTTACCAGCTCCATTTCAAAATATCATTAAAGTTATGTATGCAAAAATGGCCTAATTTATGTACTTGCATATTCTTTTTATCTGTATAAAACAACTCAAATGATTAAACTTTCATATACTTTAGAAAAGGGAACAGACTCACGAATTCATATAAATTTAGTTGAATAAAATTTTATCTTCTATCAACAACAAATATTAATAATGGAGATACCTGTGGATAATTCGCCAGAAAAAAAAAATGAAGATAACAAGAAAAGCAAAAACGCTATACGGACTGATGAGAAACTCCAAGCAGGAGCTAATTACAAAGCCAGAAAATTAGGAAAATCTCATACAATGCCAGAGTTAAACACATGCAAATCCAGCAACGTACCGTAGTATCCCTTCTCAATTTCCTCCTCCTTTACTTGATGAAGAAGTAAGGTCTCAATAATCAGGTCTTCCCAATCAACTCCATCAACAAGCTTTCTTCTTCTCTTGAACTTTTTCTCAGAACAATCAGCACCCAAATCAGAATTCCATGGATGCATTATTCTATCTATACGCACCTTAGCAGCATTGATCTTCTCTCTTCTCATCTCACATTTCAAGCAGTTTGAAATAAAAGAAGGTGGCATGGATTCGAATCCGACATCCTTCTCGAGTAACTGTTTGAGCACAAGCTTTTTGCTCAATTCTGATTTTCCATTCCACCACTCACTACAATCCTGAAGATCGACCCTCTCGGAAGATTGCTCATACAACATGGACAAACATTCAGGTGAATAAAGCAGTTTGTTTGCATCCCTAGCACTTGGTCTTGTAGAGTGAATATTGTTTTGTGATATGCTACAATGAGAATCACTTGGGAGGTTTATGGAATCAGTCTTGTGTCCATTTTCATCGAGTTTTCTTAAACATTCACTAACCATCTCTGCCAAATTAGCCTCAGGACGATCTAGGTCTTTCCTTTTATCAACAGGTTTCAACATAGCCTTTGTCTCCAAATACTTAATTACAGATGGTGCATGTTTGACAATGTTTCTAGTGGTGATATCTCTTCCCAAGGCAAAACTTGTGCCACTTCTACAAGTTTCTCTAAAAGCTCTTTGTATCGTGTTTTACAAGTGGAAACAACAGCATGAACTTCCTTGGCCAACTCGCTAATTCCAATTTCAACTTGATTCAATTCAGCGACCAGAACTAAAACAGCAACTACCAATGGAAGTGGCTTACGTCCGGTACTCAAAAACCACTTCATTGCACACTGTAACAAAAATATCCCCTGCTTGCGCATTCTGTCTACTTTGCTTCTGTCAATTCTAGCAAAAGATGGTGAAATCTTAAGGACCCTTTCCAATGAATGCACGACATCAAACTCTGGAAAATCTGATTTTTTCAAATCCATAAAATCAATAACTCGTTTTAATCATCCTACCCAATTCGTAAAATCACATCCGGCTGCCCATGCCACTTCAGCCATAGACATTGGGCGATTATCCTTTCGCATCACTATATACACACATGCACCAATTAAAACCTGAAACCAATCACCTTGCCCAAATTCACCCTCTGTGATGGTAGAAATCATCGCTTTAATATCACTCATTTTTGAAGATATACCTAATCTAGAAGTTAATTCATCTATCAAACTTTGGGCTTGAAAGAATTCCTTTCTTTGTAACTATATATAGTACCTGCACCAGAAGTTCCAACACGGATGAATGTTCCTTGTGGACCATTGATGCCACCAATATGGGCTTCAAACTGATCATATTCTTGAACAACACCACACAAGGAACATATCAAATCCCCAGACACATCATCCCTAACAAGAGAAGTTTTCCTACAACTTTTGCAGGAACGTGTGCTTGCCATAGTGTACCACAAATTTCAAAAGGGGAATTGTTTTCAAACGTATTGCTTCCAAGGAACTGTTTGGTGAGCGAAGTCAAGTTCTAACTTGAGAGAGGATACTGAACAAGCAGGGAAGCTACACTTTTTTACGCAAGACTCCACGTAATTCACTGGGAGACTAGCATGGAGATAGCAGCACTGCATTTAGTCAAACAAATAATAGGTTAATACAGTAATATGATTCGAAAACATTACATTCATGTTAATCTTCTTATGAAATTTGCTTAGCCCATCCACAACTAGTTGAACAAACTTATTTATAGAATTATAGAACAGCATTCCTTAAGATCTAAAATCCTATGTGTAAAATCATAAATCTTAGTTGTGCATATAAAACGAGAATCCTAAACATACCGCACACATACCAGAAAAAAATAATTTTTTTCTAAGTAGAAGATTTACTTGAAAAATTCCGTGTTTATCAGGTAATTTATCATACCCCACTGATGGTTGTTATAGAACAGCATTCCCACCATCCCCACCCCCAAAAATAAGAAATCTATTAGTAGCGTTGAATTTTTAAGGGTCATTGCTTCCGTCTCACTGATGGTTGTTAGTTTGCTTAATTGCTGGTGGATTGAATTGCCATGATCTCTAATTTCACTTCAAGTTCCACTTGGAATCATGGGGGGAACTTTCATGATTTTCCCTTCCTTTTTTAGTCTGCTCAGCTTTATGCTTGGTTAGAAGACGTTTTCATTGCTCAAGCAACATCAATTGAAAATTCATTTGAAAACAACAATGGTAATTAAGTTGGTAAATGACAGTGAAGCTAGCTAGTTAGGCATGCCTAAGGTAATGCATATTTCCATTCATTTTGAAAGTCTTAAGTCTCAACACCTCATTCCAATTGCTTCTTCCAAGATGCTCGAAGAGCCTCAAACGATAACATGAAAGAGGTGGCCAAGATTACGTAACTATAAGTAGACCACAGCTAAAGATGCCCAATTCATGTACAGACTTATGACATGATAAATGTTTACTCTACTTGGAATCAAGTCTAATTTGGCTTTAGGACTTCTTTACCACGGTCATTGTCTTGCAATCTCCCAAACCTAACCTGAATGTAGTTGAAAGGGCCTGGGAGAAATTGTTTAACGTTGTGTTTTAAAAGGCTCTAAAAACTCAACCACATACAAACACTTAATATTATTGTGCTGCCAGCATAGGAACAGCAAATTTTATAGGACATGTCGTCATTATGACAAATGCCAAGTCTAGAAGGGTAGTTTTGAGTGCTATCAAACATTGAAAGCAAAATCCATCGATGTGACTAAAAAGGAAAAAAGAAATCATTAAAGATTAGGCTTAAATATATAATTAGCCTTTATTTCACCATCACAAGAGTTCTATTTAATCAATTCACCTCCTCATGCTGTCAACATGCATGAAACAGTAAGCTTTCCAAAGTCATCTTTAACACACAAAGAAATAACAATGGTTCAACAATTGAGTATAATTATAAGACTCTTCAATGTGATTCTGAATTTCAAAAGAAGGTTCTTCAATTACCACATACCAGAAATAGTCCACTCTACGACCCAATAGTCAGTCCAGCAGCTAAATATTTACTGTTGAAAATTGAAATAAGCATATACAGAGCGCATTTAACTAATCTTCTCACGAACACACAAGCACTTAGGATTAGTCAGTACTCAATTTAAAACACAAACACATTCAATATTCAACAAAAATCATAAAGTGAATTTAAAATTGGAGTCTGGAGAGAAGACGAACCTAAAGCCAAAGCCCAAAAGCACACAAACTCACGAAGAACAAAAAGAGAAGGCTAACTGGGAGAGGCGAGGGCGCAGGGCACCGAACTCAGGTTGAGATCTGATACGTTCGACGGCGAGAATCTGGAGCCATAAAAAGGACGCAACAACGAGAGGCAGAGATGCAGATACAGCCGCCAACGACGGCTACCGTCCAGAGGCAGAGGCGCAGAGATCGGGGAGAACGTGGAAGTCGAACTTCGCAGGAGCGAAATTACAGAACGGGGTATTGAGTCTCATACAGAACGGGGATGAAGATCAAAGAAGGAGGATGAAGAAGAAGTCGAGGATAGAAGATGAAGATTGAAATAGGGGGATATATTCATTGAAGAAGGAAGAGGGGTGAAACTCTTATCTGTAAAATCGATTCTTCTCTTGAGATGAAAGAAGAACCGTTGTCTCCTCCTCCGATCTCAGGGCCGTTCTTCGTCGCTGGAAATTAAGAGAGTCGAACGGAGAGAAACAAAAGATGAAGAAGCAGCCACCGGAGAGGGAGAGAGAGCACGCCCTCGTAGGGGGGGTGTAACACCCTTTAAAAAAAACCAAAAACCATGGTTTTAAGTCAAAACATGGTTTTAGTTTAAAAATCATGGTTTTGAAAAAAAAAAAAAAATTTTGCGTTTTTGAAAAAAAAAGAGAGTGTGAAAACATATCAGATATGTATCTTGTTGTTTTTTATAAATATATTTTTTTATAAATATATTTAATCTTATATCTATAAATATTATACATATTAATTATTATTATTATATATCGTATGAAACACTTCTTGGTAAATTGAAATTAATTGATTACTAATAAATATTATACTTGCTTTTTAATACAAGGTCTTGTTTGATTTTTTTTTGATCCTAAATATAAGACCTCCAATCCATTTGTCTCTCATATTTATACATTTTTTTTAAGATAGTCTTCTAACAATGATAGTTATAGCCAATATACTTAATTAGTAAATATATTTAGAAAAGACAACATGTATTTATTACAAATAACTAACTTAATTTTTTTTCTCAATTTCTCAAATTAGTCAATTAGCTTTATAATATAGGTGGAGGGAGTATTTTGTTTTAAAAAAATCTTTTTATTAAAAAAATCCGTTAAAAAATTTCTGAAGAGAAACCAATTTTGAAGGCTACTAATATCATCTCTTTTTTCAATGTTATCTTTTTGAAGTGAGGTGGATGAGTTAAACGTGGATATAATATATCCAATCGATTTGTTTTTGCCACTTATAATTTTATTTTTTTTATTTTTTAATATTAACTTTGAAGAGAGCTCATTGAATTAATTGTGAGATCACATCATATCTGCAGGATACATCTTAAAAATTTACTGTATTTTTAAAATTAATTTTTATATATTTAATTTCATTCTTTTGATTTTTTTATTACTAATCATACCTGTATCTAAAATCATAAAAAATCACTTTATCACTTTATAATTTAATTTGTCATTATTTCAAAGATTATAGTGTTTTTTGAAAATTTGATGTTTTATTCTTATATACATCATTACATATTTATGTAATATTATTTTTATCTAATTATTATATTAACAGTCCGATCAAACGGTCTAACCGATCTAACAGTTTGAATCATGACCCGTTATCTTTTCAGTTTGACATCTGGTTTGGTTTTTAAAATATTGCTTGTAACGGAATATGATATGCGTGTGAGATGGAAATTTTTTCAGAATTTCATGATATTTTTTAAAACCTTTCAAAACAAAAAACAAATAATCTTTTAAAAAATATCCCTATTTAGTTAAGGGGACATACTTAAATTTTTTTTTTTTAGATTTTGGTCGTTTTTTTTTGCAATTCCTTACTATAGTTACAAATTTAATTTTAAAATCATGAAATTAAAAGTTACATTTCAAATTAGTTTGATTTCAAATTTTTAATCGATAGACATATCTGTATATGTTTCATTATTTTCTTACTTTTGTATAATATGCTGCAGACTTATGGTAAAAACTTAAGATTAAATCTAAGTTCATATTTAGAAGAAAAGAAATGATTTTAATAAAATTCAAGGGTGTAAATGTGATTTGGACGGACTCTTGAAGCAGTTGGAGAGGTTGATAGAAGAAAATATTTCTGCAAGTATTTATACTTTTTTTAAATTTAATACAAATGCCTTTTTTTCCTCTTTTTTATTAAATCATTTAATTTTGTTCCGTTAAAACGCGTTAAGTTTTATAGCTTCGTTAACAGTACTAATAAAGCAAAATTGAATGATTAATAAAACGAGAAGGAAAAACATGGGTACTGTGGACAACCGCTCTTTCAAAACCATTTAGATTAAATCCAAAACAATTTATTTGAATGATAACCATGATAGAAAAGAAAGAAAACTTAAAAATTTTTAAAATTGCTATCATGGTTAAAAGAAATAAACTTATACGAGCCACATTAATCGTTCACTTGGGCCTTGGACTTTCAAAGTCCAGAAAAATATCATTCAACCGTTAGCCCAAACCAAACTTACACTTCAAACATACGAACTGATAAAACATTTTAATATAAGTCATAGAGCCCATTAGTGAAAAATCAACATTATCAAATCAGTGTAATACGCAAAGTCTAAAATGTCTCGGACCTCCTCACGGCCCTATCATACCAGATAGTAGTAATTAAAAGTATTATTTTTACATCATGATGGTAGATGAGCCCTATGTGGCAATATATAACAAGTCAACACATAGAACAAAAGCAGGGAGGCATACAAGCTATAACAGCACACTATGCCTCCGGAGCCTTCCCTGATGGGCCACCACCTGAACTATCGCCTGAAAATGTTAAACCACGGGGTGAGACAAATGCCTCAGTAACCAACTTTCCAACTCTCATACATACTAACACGTGCTCGTGAGGTGTCAAGTGGGACAGTTATAAATTCTCGAGAACTATAGATATATCCATAGAAATATAATTTCAATCATCAAACCCTCACTATGGGGGCCAACACACAAGCCACATAAGTCTATCCCTCACTCTGGGGGATCAATCAACCATATGGGCCTATCCCTCACTTTGGGGGACGAATAAGAAGCCACAAAGGCCTATCCCTCACTATGGGGGACGAAAGAAGAAGCCAACCAATGTGCACCAATGGCGGCCTTACCACGTGGTAGGAGGATAGGACTCATTTTAAAATCCAAAATAACAACCAATCATTCACAATA